CTTGGTTTTCCTTTCCCCCTGCCGTGAGTGAGCTGGGGGAAGAGTGTGTCACTTTGTGTACAGAGTTGTGTGATAGTGTAGTCTATGCCATGAAACCTTGCTTGGGTTTCAGGTAAGTTTGCTTCCTCAGAAACTAAATTTTATTATGAGTAACTTAATTTCTTTAAAAGATTTAATTAAAATAAAGATGGTTATTGTTTCCCGGAGGGGTATGTAGCTGTGTGTGTGCTGATAGAGGCTGGTAGAAACCTCAGTGCTCAGTGTACACACAGAGTAGGAGCTGTCTTAAAACAAGACTCGGGGCAGGATTTCCCGCAGAGGGTAAGAGCTGGAACCCCCGGGGTGTTGTGCTGCAGGGGTGGCTGCCTGCTCTGTCAGACGTGTGAAAGGCTGCTGCTCCTTTCTGGGTGCGCTTCCACCTGAGTTCAGAGAAGGCAGCAGTGGCTGCGTGGGGGAAGAGGACATGCATGTGTTGCAACCTCATCCTCCAGCCAGCTGAGGGCAGGAATTTCTCCAACCACAGGCTTTTATTTCATAAATCCCCCAGAGCCTGGGGATTTTCAGTTAGCCCTACACCCCTTACCCATCATACAGTGCCTGTTGTGCTAGGAAACCTTTTCCTTGGGCTTGCAGCTGCTTTCCCTGGGTAACGTGCCGTTACCCGGGAGCTGCTGCCCACAGCCACCTCGGTAACACAAACACTTCACACAAGAGCCCTCACCGAAGCTCGCTCATACCTGGCAGACAGACACACACCCTCCTAAAAGAAAAACACCACTTGGATGACGATATTAAGAAGAAAAGAAGTTATTTTTAATGTCTTGGTGGCAAAACTCTTGTTAATTCAACACAAACAGAGAGGGGTTTCAAGCAGCCGTAACACAACAACTAAAAGCACGTGTACCTTATTTAGCACCTACGTGAGGCACGAAGGGATAAGTCTAGAAGCAAGCTAGAGCCAACTCCTTAAAACAGGGGTTAGTGTTTAACCAGTTTAGGGTCTGGTTGTAAGTACACAGGGGATGTTTCACATAGAGGAGGGACAAATGCTGCAGGAGGAATCTTTACTCGTCAGTTTGATCTGTGAGCTCCCACACCCTTAGTGCAGAGCTCGGGTGCTTTTATTCCAGGGACAGACTGGCCTCCAAGGCTTCCACGATGCACGCGGCCGAGGGACGCTGCTTGGGCTCCTCGCTGGTGCAGACAGAAAAGAGATCGATCATGCGCTGGTAGGACGCATCCAGTTCCTCCACGTTGAGGGCTGGGCGGGTTCCCAGGGCACTGTAGTACGCTTCCTCGTCAAAGCAGTCTTCATCAAAA